GCACCTATTTATACTATAGTCGCACCGGTAGTGACGTCATGGCTGTCGCCGGCCAACGAGTTGGTGTTTTTTCAATGTATGCTTCAGACACGGGTCACGACGAGGCGTCCCCGATAGCGACCCCTAAAGGATGCAGTTCGAAGTTCCCATGAAAGGGAACAGGCAGGTTGGTGTGGGGCATGCAGGCCTTGTGAAAGAGCATTTGAAGTCCCAGGCTCTCCGAGGAGGAATTTCTCTTCCCTTGCTGTAATCCTGAACTGCTCAAACGTATTTGCATTAATGGGCCTCATTTATGGGCGTGACAGATTTCTGTTTGGTTTGAGTGTCTCCAGTTATTTTGCAGGATTCTTGTTTCCAGTAAGAGCTTGGATGATGGTCGCCGTACCCAAATAAATGGGCGGCACTATGAGGATAGGCCTTGTGAAAGGGAACTGTTGTGCTTTTAAAGCATATTTCAAGTAACCGCTTGGCTTCATCTTGAAAGCACAAGTTAAATAAGTTTACTGCACCTGGACAGGTGGTTTATTTGGATTTGCCTGTTCCACACACTCTCATCGGGCACTGTGGATAAATCGCATAACAAACTTCAAACCTTCTGTATTACCCAGCCAAGCTAGCTGGAATGGGAGACTCCATCCCTAGGCCTGACATACTGTTTCCACCTTATTTTAACATAAGAGCAGATGCGGCCATTTGTAACTTGAATGTGCAAGCCTTTCAGTGTCATCCGCTTCAAGTTATTTTAGCTGTAGAAAAACAGTCCTTTGTGTAGCTTGATATTGCAAACTGGTATTTGTTATATCATTTTAATGTATTATCATAATCATAAACACACTGGTTTGTTTTGCAAATGGTTTTAGCGTTTAGTCTAGCACATTCACAGAAAATAGCTTACTTCTGCGTTGCAAACTTACGTGGATAGACTAAGGTTGTTAAAGAAATAGTTCACCCAAAAATAGTTGTTGAAAATGTACTCACCCTCAGGCTATCCAAGATGTAGATGAGTTTGTTTCTTCATCTGAAATTTTTTTTTTGCATTACATCACTTGCTCACCAGTGGATCCTCTGCAGTGAATGGGTGCCGTCAGAATGAGAGACCAAACAGCTGATAAAAACATCACAATAATCCACAAGTAATCCACTCAACTCCAGCCCAGCAATTAATGTATTGGGAAGTGAAAAGCTGCATGTTTGTAAGAAACAAATCCATCAAAACATTTTTTTTAAATTCAAACTGTTGCTCCCAACTAAAATCTGAATGCATATCCATAATATTGCTTTCTTCAGTGAAAATGTGGTCTTGCCTGAATCAGGATGGAAATGTGCACAGATCAGGCACCATTTACAAGTAAAAACAGTCCAAAACACTTCTAAACACATATGTGACCCTGGACCACAAAACCAGTCTTAAGTCGCTGGGGTATATTTGTAGCAATAGCCAAAAATACATTGCATGGGTCAAAATTATAGATTTTTCTTTTATGCCAAAAATCATTAGGATATTAAGTAAAGATCATGTTCCATGAAGATGTTTTGTAAATTTCCTACCGTAAATATATCAAAACTTCATTTTTGATTAGTAATATGCATTGCTAGGAACTTCATTTGGACAACTTTAAATTTCTCAATATCTAGATTTTTTTGCCCCCTCAGATTCCAGATTTTCAAATAGTTGTATTTCGGCCAAATATTGTCCTATCCTAACAAATGGAAAGCTTATTTATTCATCTTTCAGATTTCAATTTTGAAAAATTGACACTTAAGACTGGTTTTGTGGTCCAGGGTCACATATGTTGATGGATTTTGATATGAGAGGACAAAAGGGGATGGACTTTTTCACTGGAGGAAGCATTACTGTGGATTATGGCCAGAAGCAACAGTTTAAAGTTAAAACGCCTTAATGATGGATTTGTTTATTCTAAAAATGCAGCATTTCACACTACATGACTGGAGTCATGTGGATTACACTTGTGGGATTATTGTGATGTTTTTATCAGCTGTTTGAAATCTCATTCTGACGGCACCCATTCACTACAGAGGATCCATTGGTGAGCAAGTGATGTAATGCTAAATTTCTTCAAATCTGTTCCTTCATCTACATCTTAGATAGCATGGAGTTGAGTAAATTTCCAGCTAATTTTTATTTTTGGGCGAACTATTCCTTTAAGCAGATGGCAAAGAATTTGGTCCCATTGTGTCTCAGTCTACAATGCAGAAGAGTGAATATCAGCGTGACACATATACCACTAACAGGTGCCAGGAAATGACCTGGGCTAAGGCTAACAAAGTATGCATATCACTCAAACACAGTAGAGCCTGTTTCCCAGTATTAACGTCAACACTAATGATGCTCAATGTGATGTCTGTAAGCTGAGCCTCATGCCTAGCTCTTAGACTGAGGGCCAGGGCCAAGTCAAGCTTCTATTTTGTGTTTGTTTCATGGCTGTCTGGCTGCAAAGTTTTTTACAAGCTAACAAGGAAGCCTCCCCTGTCTGCTATCTCGTTAAGTCCTGCTGAGAATCCGCAACGTACAAATATCCACAGAATGATGCAATGGTCAAATCTGTATCTTTAAAATATTATATTTTTATTATATTTATTATTTATTATTATATTTATATTTTAAAATGCAATACTGTATTTAATATTAATTTATTGTTATCAATTTTTAAATATGTTTTGCAGAATTTCCCCAAAAACAGTAACGAAAATGGAGAAAAAACATTTCAGTCTAGGCCTAGTCATCATACACTACTAGCCAAAAATTTTACATAAGATTTTTTAAATGTTTTTGAAAAAAGTTTCTTATGCTCTCCATGGCTGCATTTTTTATATCAATAATTCATTAAGAACAGTAATATTGTGAAATTCTATTACAATTAAAAAAAAAATATATATATATATATATACATACACTGTATATATGTATGTAGTGTATTTGCACACTATAGAATTAATTTTGTATTTTTACACTTTGCTTCATTTAATATTTAGCCATTAAGAGATAGGTTTTATTATGTTATTATGAATGATCCCTTGCAATGTAAGTGGAATGCCTGTGTCTCTTTCATTAAAAAGAAATGAGCAGAGCAGAGTCAATTTTCTTTCCACTTAAGGTTTAAGTCACGTTGACACTGTCATATGACATCTTAAACTCCTTACTAACATTGTGTCATGCAATATTAAAAGATCTTTAGGCAGCCAGAGACAAAGCAAGACATTTGTGATCAAAATTTACATATTTTCCATGAAATTATCTGATGGTCATCACAGACACACACACACACACACACACACACACACACAACAGAAGCAACATAGTGTTTCCTTCTCCACTTCGCAGGACAGGATTTTATTACATAGCTGGTTTTGTGGCAGTGCCAGATAGATGACTGGGCATTTGCAAAACAAATAGGCTGTACATTTAAAACAATGCGTATTGGTGTCCGTAGTCCCCTTATGCAAAGCAGAACGTGTGGATGTTGCCAGATATAGCGGTATGTGTTAAGAGAATACAGATGCTGTCTGACCAGACCTGCAGGCTCATGCCTTTTCCATCAGTTCACCTATTGTACCTTTTAAAGAATCAGATGATTTAATGTTTGGTCTAAATACAAATCTAAAGGCTGTCTATTCTGCCCTACAAAGACAAGACACAGCAACCGTCTGAACTGGATTGAACTGTAAGGATACATTAAATTGATCAAAAGTTCTATTTCAAACAAATGCTGTTCTTTTGAACTTTCTATTCATCAGAAAATCTGGAAATAAAACTTATTACGGTTTCCATTAAAATATTAAGCAGCACAACTGTTTTTGACATTGATAATATTTAGAAATGTTTCTTGAGCAGCATATTAGAATGAATTTCACAATATTACTGTATTTTTGATCAAATAAATGCAACCTTTTGAGTACAGACTTTTCAATAATATATATATGTGTATATATATATATATATATATATATATACTGTACACTACTAAGAGATGTACACAAATATATATAAAACCATTGGTCAGGCATATGCAGCAAGCAGTATTTTACCTTTGGTACCCCCTACAAATATGCTCTATAAACAACCCTTCTTTCTTAGATCCACTGAATGATTGCTCGAAACAAGTTTTGAGTAGTCGCCTCTTTTTCTGTGGTTTCAGACATCTTAATGTCAATGACATGTGTGGGAGGGGAAGGGCAGCTTCAGACAAAGTATTGCATTCATGTTCTGTTACTGTACTGTTCCCCCCCCACCCCACACACATTAACAATGGAACTTAATGGCTCAGAGAGTTTACGGTAGGTTCACACACTAACCGCAAACTATCCGCACCGTAAGTCACCGCCAGCAGCCAATGACTTTTGCTGATTTTCCGTATACAAAAAATGCAATGTTTGCATGTATTCAGGCTTATATAAAAGCTGAAACTTTTCCAAACTCTAGTTTGAACGTTAGATTTCTTTGCACGGTAATAATCTGGATCACTGCATCATTTCACTTTGATAATTGGCCATATTGGTGTTTTTATTCAATTTCAGTCCAATTTTCAATATTGATTCTAAGCATTGATGTTATCTGAATATCAACCTATCCTCATTGAGCCAGCAGCACTGCTCACAGTCTCCAGGTCCAACTAACAAAAACAGAGTATTTTTATAGATCTCAGTCAGTTAGTGCATATATGCAAATGAGAAATCTGATTGGTGGTTTATACATACCGCACCAACGGGAAAGGCCAGAACAGCCATCATCCAGTCTCGTAAGCCAATGAGCTTCCTCAACTGTCTCTCTTGTTCCATACTGGCACTGCCTTTTGTCAGAAGGCTTGAGAGGTCAGTCAGGACACACACTCCAAAGAACACCGCCTGAATGACCTGACATGGGGAATCATAACATACTGGTTAGGAAAAAGTAATGTAGTATACCCAGAAGAAATGGGACACATCCCATCCATCAGATTTGTAAACTTCCAAGAACAAGTATGTGGCATTTTGACTTTTCTACATTGTGACATTGTAAAATAAATTACAATTTATTTTATATTGTAACAATAGTTCATAGTATAACTGTTTTTATTTATTTATATATTTTTTTATCTATATAAGCCAACAAAAGCTGAATGCCAATGATTAGTATATATAATTGAATAAAACGATATATAAACGACTGGGGTCATGTGGGTTAATTGTGGATTATTGTGATGTTTTTATCTGCTGTTTGAACTCTCATTCTGACGGCATCCATTTACTGCAGAGGATCCATTGGTGAGCAAGTGATGTAATGCTAAGTTTATGATGAAGAAACAAACTAATCCACATCTTGGATGGCCTAAGGGTAAATAAATTATAAGGAAATTTTTGGGTTAAATGTTCCTTTAAGCCCTAACTGAAAAGAGCAGTCAAAGCTGACCGAGGTGTAACTTGGTCCATTTTTGTTATAAATAAATAAATTAAATTAAATTTCCATGTTTTTTTTTTGTTTTTTTTTGGAAGGCCTCTCATTGACATGCAAATCAAAGCTGTCTTATAAAAGGAACACAATGGAAAGTTGAAGGGAAACTTGATGAAAGCCATGCATTCATCTTTGGTTGTCTCAAAATAGAATATGAGTATTTCTAAGTGCCATCATTTTCCAAGAGCAAACAAACTCGCATCACAAGAAACAGAACAATATACAGATAGAGTTGTCAAGCTTTAAAATGTTACAATGCATGACAGGCTGCAAGAAAACTGGCATTAGAATAATTTAATACACAACCTTTCCTCCATAACCTATTTCTATGTCTTTTTTTAGCCCATTTTTCCATTAGCGAACATTCATGATGAGTGTTAGGAGATTGCTTTGACATTCATTTAAGATGGAAAGACATTATGGAATTATGTTTCTTTATTATATCTCCTCCACAGATATCCAACATGCAAATAAGTCTCCCATTAATACACTCTTTCATATTTCATTCCTCATTATCCTTCTGCTCCTAAATTTGTTTCCTGGTGTCTGAAGACAGGAGAAGCCCTTCTAAGACTTCATATAATTCGATTTGTCCAAAACCAATCTTTTATTGGAAAAGTCTTAAATCCCTATTACCAGCCGCCTAAAAAGATCTATTTTTCTTACTTTACCCTGACTATTGCTTTTGATCTTTGCTTTTGCTGAGCTAAAAATGGATGTTCATCCTTTTCTCACATCATTTGAGAGTTAAAAAAAAGCCATGGTGCAAGGACATGAAGCCAAAAGAGGCATAAAATCATTTATTAGCTATACAAAGTCTTATTTTGTACTTATAAACAACCACAAGGATTTCTGGACTGAGACTCAAGTCTGCATGAAATCTAGTGAATTGCTTGTTTGAGGCTGGGAATAATAATAATTGGGCTAGGAAAATGTCTCTAGGTTACGTATGTAACCATGGTTCCCCGAGGGAACGAGACGCTGCGTCGAGATCGCTTTGGGAATGCCCCTGCGTGACCGCGTTCTGAAGCACGTGTGAAATCAGTCCAATGGAGCAGCGAGACGTCACGAGCGGGGTGACGTGAGCGCCAGGAAGTATAAAAGCGCATCCGGCAGAGCGCAAGTTAGCTTCGATGAAGTAGCGCCTGGAAGGATGCAGGGAGTATGGCAAAGAGATGCAGCGTCTTTCCCTCGGGGAACCATGGTTACATAGGTAACCTAGAGACGTTCCCCTTCAGGAACTCGAGCTGCATTGAGATCGCTTTGGGAACGAGAATACCCACTGCGCCATACTACCAAGTCCCTGCCTGTGTGTGTATCTTGCGAGCACATCACGAAGAGAGAACTTGGGAACCTGGGGTAGATGCCAGGTCTAGGTTGTAAAAGCGGACAAAAGTGTGCGGAGAGGACCAGCCCGCCGCAGCACAAATGTCCTGCAAGGCCACACCCAAGTTGAAAGCCTTGGAGGACGATGTTCTTTTGAATAATTCGAGACTGTGGGGCTGTAAATACGGGATGAGTACGGTTTCTCCCACGATCTTGACACCTCAGCATGGAGATCGGGGAAAAACGGAAGGCCCCGTTGAGAAGGCTGTGATCTGGATTCCAGAAAAAGCTCATGTTAATAAATATAACAATGCTACAGTGAAGTAGATCAGTTGTGGATAGTAGGTGCCAGTATTTGATCCAGACGTACTTGCATTTCTTGTGCCAAGATGAGATAATCTGCCTCTCTGAACGTGGCATGTGTTTATCGTCTGTTCTAATTAGTTTCACACAGCCTCATCATCCAGGTTCATTATAGCAATGCTATGAGTGGTGTCAGAGGTCCTTAAATGCTGTCAGAATTAATCATTATACTATTACACAAAGCAGCTCAAACAATAAATCACGTCCATGTCTCTCTATGGTTGTGGTGAAAGTGAGTCTAGTTTTTCTATGCTTATGAACAATGAAAGAGTTTATGAATAAACCTAAAACTGTCATCATTGTGTTTTTCAGGTTATCAAAACTATTAAAATAACAATTTTTCTAAATGTATTTGATGTGCACATATGAATGAAAGTTTGGGGTACGACTATTTTGGCAGGTAAGTAAGTAACATTTCTTATTTCTTATTGAAAACATTTGTGCTGCTTAATATTTTTATGGAAACCATGTTACATTAAATGTCTTTACTGTCACGTTTGTTCAATTTAATGCATCCTTGTTGATTAAAACTAGTAATTTCTTTCGGAAAAAAAAAACATACTGAGCCCAAGCTTTTGAACTATATATGTTAATTGTAGTGCAGTGACTACAGTGCATTAGAATTTCAAATAAGTACTAAGGATTCTGAGAGAAAACATCATAAGTGTTATGAAACAGCATAAGGTTTGAAAAGCTCCATCCACAATAATCCCAACACATCTGCACAGAACATATCTGTACATGAGATTATTCCCAAACAAGAATGGGAAAAAAAGCAAACACTGCACTGGAACAGATGTGTAAAAGTGAAGTGTAACAAAACAACTTTTATTGCTATTAAAAATCACTTAAAAAAGGGGGAGAAAATAGGCTGTTTATGTGGAAAACATGAGTCATTGGCTCACAGACTGTCATAACAGTCAATGTGTATGTGCGTGCGTGCAGTTGTTGGTGCCTAATGTGACCTGCATTTACTCGAACAGACTGGTGCCTTATGGTGCCAGAACAAAAGGATGAAAAGGAAAAAAGATGCTTCAATTTCCTATGTAAAAACTGTAAATGCACCCTTAATTTGTCCTCCTGTGAACTGATCGTAATTCAGCACAACCCTTCAGAATAAGATTCATTATTAATGATGTGAGATATGAAAAGCATGACATCATTAGAGATTTAAAAAGTAATTACGTCATGTGATTAACGTTTAATGCCCAGTAAATATGACGTAAGACTATTTGTGTTGGCGGTTGGACTCCTTTTTGAAGGAACCTGCATATTTCAGCATAACGGGCCTGTCTATATAATGCATTATGGAGATATCATATAAATATATATCAGGCACTGCATGGGAACGATGCACATGCACTTACCAAATCTATGAATGTAAGAAACTTCCAGCTACCGCCGTATGTTTGATGCGCGGGCATGTCTATGGCTTTGTAATTGCAGAGGATGGAAAAATAAGAGAGGAGTATCGCTACTCTGAGGATCTGTGATGGGATGAGCGCCATTTTCCTTCCCCCGTCGTATTTCCGTCTCAGGAAATATCCTGTTGACAGAGGGATGCTGTTATGCGGTGAGGAGGGGGACGTTGGTGGAGGCGGCGGATGTTCGCGAGAGGTTGTTGCTATAGTAACAAGCATCGCTGCCTGTGCAGAGCAGCTCGTGTCACTGTTCTTTGTGTCCGCGCATGCTCATTGTGTTCTAAGAACGTTTTGTCTAACATTCCCATTAAGGAACGTTCAATTCTCTGAAAGTTCAAACGTCCAATTATTTGTCCAGTGTTTACATTTTTTTTCCTATGAGCAGTGTTGGGGAAAGTTACTTTTAAAAGTAATGCATTACAATATTGCGTTACTCCATACAAAAAAGTAACTAATTACGTTACTTCGTTACTTTTGATGGAAAGTAATGTGTTACGTTACTTTTGCATTACTTTTTAAATCTGGACAGGGCTTGCTTGTTTGTTTTTAAAATAAAAAAGTTCTATTTTTGGCAAATATAAAAGCCTTTTCACACCAAAAGTGAAATGAATAAGCCTCAGGCTGAAGGGAAAGTAAATTTACGTCCGTACAGTAGAATGCAGAAGAAAAAATTTCAACACACTTCAGCAATAAAAAAATAAAAAGTAATGCGTTACTTTACTAGTTACTTGAAAAAAGTAATCTGATTACGTAACTCGTGTTACTTGTAATGAGTTACCCCCAACACTGCCTATGAGCATTTAAGGGAACATGCCATTTGATCATTTATCATTTTTATCATCATGTGAAGGTCATTTTTGATGTTCTCTGAAGGTTCTGAAACGAGAAGTAACTTTTAAAAAATGTTAAACAAACATCCAAATTTTTTTTCAGAAAAAAAAATTAAAAATCCATGAACGATGTATAAATAATGTTTTCTGCTAATGTTTTGAGAACGTTATTAAAGACCAGATAACTCTGAGTCTTAAACTGTGGTGGTTGAGTTTAAGTACTAAATCACTGATACATTTGACTAAGTGGACTATTGAAAACCTTATGGTTATTGAGATGGTTACCTTGTGCGAACTTACATCTCCCCAATTATATTATATTATATTATATTATATTATATTTACTTACATTTTCAATATCAGGCATAGACGCTACCAGAATACAATGAAACATAAATAACCCTTCAAAAACAACCCTTTCTCTTATATTATATTATATTTACTTACATTTTCAATATCAGGCATAGAAGCTACCAGAATACAATGAAACATAAATAACCCTTCAAAAACAACCCTTTCTCTACCAACCCATTAACTGTAACCTATAATTTGAGTCGATCACTGTTTGAGAGATGTCAGACAGTAGCAGACAAAACATTTTTGCCCCCGTAAAACCTGCATTATGAAACTATATGGCAGCCAAAGAGGTTTACAGTGGAAAATCCCTTGCCACAGGCACATAAATGGTTCCCAGAACTAGCCATTTTAAGAGGATGGAGGAATGAGGATTAAACAACTATGCCTGCCTCCACTTAAAGCAGCGTTACAGGGTCTGGTGTGATTCCCGTGACCTAGACTATACTGGACTATATCTCGATATTACCTAAGACAGGGTGAATTTTTTTTCAGACCAAGGGATAATATGCATACTATACACAATTTTAGCTGTCACATCTCAAATTGCAATATGGAATGCTTTTATGTTTGGACTTACTGTCACTCACATGCCATATTATCACAGCCAAATCCACTTATTACCAGCATGTTATTGCTTTTTTTTTTAAATATCTTGAACAAATCAGGTCACTGAAGTTGATGTGTGTAAAATCCTTTTTTCTCTGAAATATTCAAAACCTTATATTTATCTAACTTCACCTAAGCCTCATGAGCAAAATGAGAAAATACAAAGAAAATATAAGGCACACTGACTGCTGTGCAGGTTCTTCACCTACTGTGGAGTTTGATGGGAGTCTGCCAGAGTGCAAGAGTGCTCCACAGTTTGTGGTTAGCTGTGGGGAGCATGCAAGAGTTTCCAAAGCTGAGGTAGACTTGTTCACAATAAGTGCACTTGAGTGAGATGCATGTGCATGTGGTTCTAGATGAGTGGGTCCTCCAGCAACCCAAAACTTCATCTCATTCGGTTGGCCCCAAGCTCTCTGACATGCGAAGCTCAGATTTCATATATGTGCAAGAATAGATCTCAGTGAAATGTGTTTATCAGTATGATACAGTGCCAAAAGTCTTGAAAACACAGATTAGGCATCCCGTCTAACACTTGAAAAACATACTTGCTGAGTAAATAATACAGTCAGTCAGGCCAGCCAGTCTATTTTATTTTGTTTTTTTGTTTTTTAGGGTTTATTATGCAATAATGACCAGTTGACTGTACATAATCCCGCTTAATTGTTATACGCCTACTCCTCAAATCAATAAATATGCAAACATCAAATACTGATTTGAGTTTAAATTATTTAAAAATTTTACCTGTGCATTATATTTGAGACTTCCACTAAGAAAAAAGTACCTTAATGTGCAAAACAATTGGCCTTGCAACAAGGTGAGTAATATCACTGTAATACCAAAGCCCTCTTTGGTCTGACTACAATCTATTTTAAAATACAATCAATGGAGGTAAAATGGCACCAATTGCATTTCTATTAAACAAGAGAGCACGAGCCTGCGGAGTGATACAAGAGACAAGAAAGTAGCACCGGTTTCGTTACGGTAATATTGGTCTGATATGCAGCAGTGCATATGTTGCTTCTTGTCACATCAAAAGCAAATAGAACCCATTATTCCAGAACTTTTACGCAAATACACGAGTGCTTGGCCAATGGGCGTATTTACTGTTAGTTGTTAGAATCTACAAAAGATCGACAAAATATTTGTAACCCAATGCAAGTACAATACGTGTGCTGGCCAAATGCTAGTGGATACATGAGCGCACTTGCCTTAACTATAGGGCTGTTCACAATTGAAATAGTTAACCATGGGTGATTCTAAACCCCAAATAAATAAAATTCTGGGTTATCTTGTTTCACGCTTCCCACTGCTCATAATTTATCCAGGGTTAACAATTAATCCTGGGTATTTATAAGAAGACATTTCACTTGTTTCACTGTAAGTTTCTGAACCCTGTATTATTTGCATATTTGCCAGGTGAATGCAGCACACAATGTGTTTACATAAAGGCTATACTGTGCATCCTTATAGGCTAGATTGCCGACTGTACTATCAAGTTTTCCTGAATGGACTTTTTGGAACATAAAGGGGCTTTGCAGTGTGAAAACCCCATGTGTTTCTGGCTTTATAATCGATGCTGTCTACAATAGATGGACAAATGGACGAGGATAGAATTATCATGACTGAGTTATTTTTGGAAGTTTCTCACACTGAACATTGCGACATTCAGAATCACATACGCCAGAGAGCCACGTAAAACTTTGTATTATTCAAGTTTATCAAGTAATGCAAGAACAAACGTGTATAATGGATTAACAAAGAAATACTGCCTTTTGTTAATGCAGTAGGAGAAAAACAAGCAGTGACTGTGAAGGAGATGGGCTTGTGGCTTGTGTGGCTGGCCTGCTCTGCTTTCTATATGTCTTTTTCGATTTTCTGTTAACTTAAGAAAGTTCATAGTTTATAGCTAATAAATGTGCAATGGCAACTATCATTCAACCACATTTAAAAAAAGAGTTTAAGGCACTGAACTGCAAGTCTTAATGCAGTTCACAGATGGCGCGTAGAGCAATGGTCATCATGGTTGAGTTGTGTGGGGAAAGTCATGCTAATGCCTTTCCCCCTTATCAATCTCTAGTCAGATCTGCAACAAGATCTCATGTAATTAGGTTGAGTTGCCTTTACGTCCGTATACCAGCATGACATTGTAGTAGCAGCTTATAAATAGTCTATCAGTGTCTCATTAAAATGTTGTTTTGTTTACAACAGCGTAAGGCTATGGACTAAACACTGGTGCGAGCACTGATGTTTGGACTTGTTTGCAGACATCAAAGTCTGCCCAATCAATCTAATGAAGAGAGCGAACACACACATCTGCTCGCTCGCCCGCCTCCTGCTTACCTTTGTCCTGGTTCTGCCAATTAGATGTCCCTTCTCAGAAACCTCCCACTCTAATCCCGCAGATAATGAGGAAATATTATTCATTCATTACAGTTGCCTCCAAATTCAAATTTGGTTTCATAACTGTCCTATGGTAAATCAAAAACGTCAACAGATTATGAGCTTTTTGGATGAAGGTTGGCAGGACCGCGGGAGCTTCAGTGGTCACATTGTGCTCATTGAGAGCTCAGATCTTCAGTGTTGTGCACTAACAGTTCCATTTCAATTCTTGCATTTAAATTGAGGTAGCAAACAGGACACATTTAAATTTGATTATAAGTAGTATTAAAATGAAGTGAAAATCATATGAGCAGCACGTCAGTTTTCAGCATTTATAATAATGAGAAATGTTTTTTGAGCACCAAATCAGTTGAATGTTTTTTGAAGGATCATGTGATACTGAAGCCTAGAGTAATGGCTGCTAAAAATTCAGCTTTGCTATCACAAAAATGTATACATTTTGAAATATATTAAAATCGAAAACTTATTTTAAATTGTAATAATATTTCCTAATATTACTGTTTTTTAACTGTATTTTGATCAGTGTCTTATTCAAATCCGAATCACATTTATGATTTGACAAGTAGCCATTTCTTAAAATCTGAATTTTTCACAACCCTGCAGGTCTGCATCCTGTATCTTCTCTCTTTCTCGTGGGCCATTTGCTTGAGAATGAATGATGCATGTGGTGAGGTTTATAATTGTCCCTGTGGACTTCGAGATTTGAGTGTTGTTTACTGTGCCGGCAGCTTTCATCATCATCTTGACAAGCAATAAATGATACGGTGTGTATATAAAACGCTCACCGAAAGTAATGGGGTTTCCATAGTCACACCACACATTTCATATCATTACCGTTTATGGTCTGTGGTCACAGTCTGTCCAACTATACAGATAACACACACACACACCTGCAGAGATATTTAAAGCACAAGGTGTGTATCCATAATGGAGAGGTGTGAAAAGACAGATGGCCGATGAGAGGTGTCTAAACACTGTACTTTCACTGGTTTGGAGATAGAGAAAATGCGTAGAGCTGGGCAAACAGAATTATGAGCAATAATAACATGCAGATGAATGTTACGAC